AAGCTTTAATTAGACGATTTTAGAGATTCTACACAGAGCTCAAAGAAGCTGGAAAGAACATAGAAATTGTACTAGTGTCCCGAGATCGCGAAGCGGATGATTTGAAGGTGATCATTGCCTTTTCGAGGCCTATTTGATTGTTTACAGATTTATTAAAGGAGTACCTTACGGAACATTGCGGTGGTTGGGTAGCTATTCCATTCGGCGATTCTCGTATAGTGTAGGTTTTAGTTTCTCTTTTGTTCTTTTCTTCGCTTTATACACATTGTATCTTTGACTTCTTCAAGTTTTTTTTGTGAATTTCTTTTTTTAGGGAATTCCTTGCCAAATACGAAGTACCAACGATACCTGCAATGAGAGTGCTAAAACCGGATGGATCCGTACTTGTCGCAGACGCTCGCGTTCAAGTACAGGTAAAATCGATATTTTTAAAGGGTATCTGACAGGATTCTAGTTTCGCAGTTTAACTCAAATTTTCTGTCTCGCAGCAGTTTGTTAATGGAATTTTCAAGGAAACAGCTAATTTTTAACCAGAATCCCTAGCAGTTTCTTCGGATAATTGTCAACTCCTACGAACGTCCCAAAATAGGCAATTTTTGGCTAGCCCGAGCTTTTAAGGCATGAATAGAATGGTTTAAAAAATCATTTTCCTTACAAAAGCACTAGGTTCATCAATTGTTTCAAACATTTTCGACTACCCCAAAGAAATTCTAATCTCCAATATTTTAGGAGAAAGGACGTGAAGATCCTGTGAAGCTTTTCGAAGAGTGGGAAGCTATGTTGAAGTAACTGCGTGGTATGAATCTAATTTCTTCGTGCTCCAAAACAAGCCTATGATCTTCTTACTCTTCTTGCTCTTGAACCTATAGTTTTTTGTTGAGGTTGTGTTGATCATTAGATCCTAATTATTGTGTTTGATGTGTTCGTATTCAATAAAAATTACAAAAAATAAAATAAATAATCAAACAAGTCGTCACCTGGAGATAAATAAGAAATTTATTGGAAACAGGACATTTTGTGATGGGGCAAACAAATTGAATTTTTAACGTTAACTAGCTTGAACTTGGTCGGTTTGGTGAGCCATCTAGAGTGTCTAGAGGTCCTATTACATTTATCTCAAACATTACATCTAATAACAGCTCTGTACAATTATTGAAAGTAATTTGGTTAAACTTTGAAACTTAAAGTAGAAATCTTAAAAAGCACGAAATCTCATATTTAAGCAAAGGTTTCTCTGAGCAAAAGAAACCTTAAGGATATTAATATTTTGACGTCATTTTATTGAAGAGAAGTGGATATGTACCACAAACAATATAATGGTTTACCTACCGCAATACGATAAGGTAAGCTTGTAATTTGATAAGGTTCGAGGCTGTATCCACGTTATAATCTCGTCCTTTAGAGCACTGAATGGAGTTCGCTCAAGTAGGCATCCCTTGTCGTGCACAACTCGTCCATTTCTCCATTTATGATAGCAATTCGCACTTTATACGCATTATAAGGGTGCGGAAATGAACGTTGTCCGTGCTTGCCGCTTTTACTTTTATAGTAATCTAATATAATAATGTCATAAAAAGTCTCAGACTTTATATCTACGTAACTTATGTTTTATATACAACTTGTAGCGCGTAACTAACTAAACTTTGGATGCAATGAGATTCACATTCGGATGTATGTAGCTGAAATTTCGTATCCATGTCCCATGTATTTGTGGATTTTTGAATTTTTCGTGGATTTCGAACGGAACACCAGTCCAGGAAGTGTAACGGTCAGAGTAGGTGATGGCTTGTCAAACAGGTTCTGTTTTTTGTTGATGGTTATTTTTTGAAGAAACATTCTTAAAGTTTACGCTTGCACTCTAATAAATGAATTAATTCATTGATATAATAGAAGATTTTTGCTGAATGA